CTTTTGACTCAGCTCGTCCTCGTGCCTCATGGCTATCCGAGCCAGGAGCCGAACATCCTCCTTGAGGACCTCCAGCTCCTTCTGAAGCTCCTGGTTGGTCTTCTCCTGGCTGTAGCCCTGGCGATTCCAGTCCTCCCATTCCTTCTTCGTCCATTGCTGGTTCTGCTTGGCCCGTCCTGACGGGGGCTGGTTGGGGCGACTGCTCTGTCCCGCTTCCTTGCCCTGAGACGACTGGCTGGGGCCTGAAGCTTCCGGGTTCTTTCCAGTCGGGGCACTCTGACCTTTGCCCGCTGGGCGCTGAAACTTGTCCGGGAGCTCCGTCTCCTGCTCTTCTCTCTGTCGTCTGCCCAGGGTCGGCGCTGGGGGCATGGCAGCATCCGCCGGTGCTGCTGCCTCGATCTCCTCTGCCCCCGCTGCTGGATTCAGGTGGGGAAATGCAAGGTCCATTTTGAGGAGCAGGCGAAAATAGTCGAGGAGCAGGACTGGTCAGGGCCTGCAGATGAGACTGCCGTAGCAGGCAGATTTGGTATAGAACTCTGCACTTGTGTTTGGTGCGATGTAGGGGCCGCGCCCCACAAGCTCCACAAGGTCGTTGCTGGCCCTCTCTCAAGGTAAGGCTTTGGGCCGAGGCTTCTGCACTATGTCGAGACATGTCAGGATGCAGCGAGAACATATGTTTGTTGAGCGCCCCAGGTGCAGATGATACCCATTGAGCACACAATATGCAATGGTTGCGCAAATGCTCTTTCACACCATCAAACCAAAGAATATTCTTCCAGTTTTGCTGCTGGAGCAATGCAAGCACTTCTGATCGTTCAGCAACTGGAGCGTCTGTGCTGTCTGGAGCATCAGGTCCCGCAGCGTACTGCAAAGCAGACCTGAGACTAGGCTCCTCAGCGGGTCCCGCAGCGGACTGCTCAGCAGACCCTACCGACACAGATGTAGCTCCCGGAGCATGCAAAACCGGACAGCTCGTAAGAATGTGCACCCGAAAATTGTGCCAGCTGGCCAGCTTAGCTGTGCAATGTTTACAAATAGGCATGTTGTTCATACTGTGATCTTGTGTCCGAAGCGCATGCAACCTGCCCGCCGGTCCCTGTGCCTTGAACTGCACCCGAATCTTGTGCATGCGAGTGTGATGCTGTCTCATGGCTTGGAGAGTGGGAAAATACTGTCCACAGGTAGGGCAAGCTATTTCCTGCACCACCGGCACCGGCTCAAGCCCTGTGGTTTGCAAGAGCAGCAGCTCCTGCATCCACCCACATCGTTCAG